AAGTGGGATTTATTCCTGGAATGCAAGTATGGGTCAATACATGAAAACTGATCAGTGTAATATGCCACATCAACAGAATGGAGGGGAAACCACATGATCATCTCAACCTGATGTAGGTCTGCAAAGCATTGGACAAAATTCAAATTTATGTAGAAAAGCATTTGACAAAATTTCATGATAAAAACACTCAACAAACTAGGAACAGAAGGGAACTACCTCCCCATAATAAAAACCATATAAGAAAACCCACAGGAAACATCATACTCAATCATGAAAGACTGAAAGCATTTCCTCTAAAATGAGGAACAAGGCAAGGCTGCTTGCTTTCACCACTTCTATTCAACATGATCCTGGAAGTTCTGGTCAGAGCAATTAGGTAAGGGGAAAAAAGGCATTCCACACTGGAAAAGAAGAAGTAAAATTATCTCACATATAATTTTACACGTATAAACCCTGAAGATGACACACACACAAAGCCTGCTTAGGACTAATATATGATTGCAGCAAAGTGTCAGGAGACAGTCAACACACAAAAATCAGCTGCATTTCTGTACATGAACAATGAACAATCTGAAAAAGAAATCACAAAACAGTTCCATTTACAATCGCATCAAAGAGAAGAAAATGCATAGGAATTACCTCAACCAAGGAAGTGAAACACTTGGACGGTGACAAGTACAAGCCCCTGCTCGGGGAGCTGGAAGACGTAAGTAAATAAAGACACACCCCATGTCCATGGTTCAGGGGACGAGATGCTGCTGCAGCATCCGCGTGACCCTCAGTGGGCTGTAGATTGCGCGCCACTCTTGTCGAAATCCTAATGGCATGTTTTTCAGAAGCAGAAAAACCCATCCTAAGTTTCATATGGAATCTCAAGGGACCCGGAAGAGTCAAAACAATCTTGAAAAAGAACTCACACTTGTGACTCCCACTTAAAAGTCTGAGCCTCGGTTGGATGAAGCCTCCGCCACACACATCGGTCTCTGGGGAAGCGACAGGGAGAGCCAGCGAACCCTCGCCGTTCAGAGTCGCAGCGTGGGGCCCAGCGCCCAGAACCAAGGAGTACGTGTCACCCAGGGCCCCTGAGATGTGTGTGCACATGGAGTGTGTGCTGGGCGCTGTGCCCGCCCCCGGGATACAGCCTTGTCCTTGGGAGTGCTTGGAAGAAAAAAGGCTGGTTGAAGGGAAGGCAGGCCCAACAGAATAAAAGGTTTAAGAGACAGCTGGATCCTGTGTAGACCAGATTCAAGTGCATCAGCAGCGAAAGACCTTCCCAGTCAGGGAAAATGGACTGTGACCTGGCTACTGGATGACAGGAAGGGTTATTATTAATTTGTTAGGCAGTCACAATGGCTTGGTGGCTGAGCTGGGCTTTTTTTTAAGTCCTTACGAGTTAGCTCATCTGGATAACGGCTTCAGGACATCAGGCTATAAAACAGTAGCGCAAACATTCTTGCAGTCAGCACTTTGCACACACATCACTTGATCTCTACAAGCCCTCGATAACGTGGGTACTACTATCCTTCCATCTCCACAGATGAGGAAACTGAGGCAAAGAGCAATTATGGAGCTTGCCCAGGACCACACAGAAGGTCTGTGTCCAAGGAGGTGAGCCAGACAGTGGTCCTGGAGTCCAGGCGTGGGAGCACCACACGATAGTGCTTCCTAAAGGGAGAGCATTGATAATCACTATGACCTAAATGTGTCTCCTCAAATTCGTATGTTGGAATCCTAGCCCCCATTGTGATGGTGCTGGGAGGTGGGACTGTGGTCGGTGATGAACTCATGAACATGGAGCCCCTGAATGGGACCCGTGCCCTCACAGAGGACTCACAGAGCTCCCTCGCCCTTCCCACCACAGGAGAAGGCTGCTGTCTGCAACCCAGGAATAGACCATCCCTAACCCCACCATGTTGGTACCTTCTAACCTCCTGAACTGTGCAAAATAAATTCCTGTTGTTCTGATATTTTGTCATAGCAGCCCAAATACATTAAGATGATGGCCAGGGAGGGAGACCGAGGTAGAAGGCACAAGCCAGTAGGAAGGAAAAGGCTGTCTTGCACAAGGGAGGCCTCAGTGTGGCTCCACCCAGAGCCAGAAAAGCCAACAGCTGCACCCCCCTCCCCCCATGCCTGCAGGGTACCAGGCACAGAGCTAAGGGCCTCTGTTGCTGGTCCCATCTAACCCTATCACAGTGTGCTGCAAGATGGCCTATACCACCATTTTCCTGTGTCGTGGATGACAACCAGGGTCAGCCAACCTGTCCGTGCTCACACCAGCTAAAACACAATTCAGTGCATAGCAACTCTGTTCTCGACACGTCTCCTGAGGCAAAGGAAACAAAAGCAAAAATAATCAAACTAAAAAGTCTCTGCACAGCAAAGGAAAGAATCAACAAAACTAAAAGGCAACCTACAGAATGGGAGAAGATATTTGCAAATAACATATGCAATAAAGGGTCAGTATCCAAAATATACAAAGAACTGAAACAACTCAACACCCAAAAACAAATAATCCAATATAATAATGGGCAGGAGACACGAACAGACATTTTTCCAAAGAAGACAACCAGATGGCCCACAGACACATGAAAAGATGCTCAACATCAGCCATCATAAAGAAAATGCGAATCAAAACCACAATGAGATACCACCTCACACCAGTCAGAATGGCTAAAATTAACAAGTCAGGAAACGACAGATGTTGGTGGGAATGCAAACTGGTGTGGCCACTCTGGAAAACAGTGTGGAGGTGTCTCAAAAAGTTGAAAATAGAGCTACCCTACGACCCAGCAATTCCACTACTGGGTATTTACCCAAAGAATACAAAAACACTCATTCCAAGGGATACTTGCATCCCAGTGTTTATAGCAGCATTATTTACAATAGCCAAGATGTGGAAATAGTCCAAGTGTCCATCAACTCATGAATGGATAAAGAAGATGTGATACACACACACACACACACACACACAATGGAATATTATTCAGCCATAAAAAGAATGAAATCTTGCCATTTGCAGCAACATGGACGGAGCTAGAGAGTAATAATGCTAAGTGAAATAAGTCAGTCAGAGAAAGACAAATATCATATGATTTCACGCATATGTGGAATTTAAGAAAAAAACAAATAAGCAAAAGGGAAACAAAGAGAGTGACAAACCAAGAAGCAGACCTTTAACTATAGAGAACGTACCGACGGTCACCGCAGCGGAGGTTGGTGGGGGGATGGGGAAGTAGGGGGTGGGGATTAAGGAGGGCACTTGTCGTGAGGAAAAGATAAAAATGAAATGAAATGAAAAAAAGAGGATGTTACAGGAAGAAACAATGGAAAGATATCTCTGAGGCTGAACATAGACTTTTAATAGAAATTCTATTTTTTCAATAAATTCTAAAAATTGCTAAATACATTCAGAATCAGGATGCTAACACATAAGAACTCAAAGGTGACTAAAAATAAAAAGGAGAAGTATTTCAAGAAATGACACTTCCACATGCCAAAGTCACTCCTACCCATAATCGAATAAGAAAGTCTCTCCTATTCCAAAATATCTTCCCCACCCATTTGGCCACCCACTGCCTTCCATTTTCGCATCACATTTCTTTAATTTTTTAAAATTTATTTTTGTGTTTTATTTTTTGCCTTTTTTTTAAGTAGACTCCATGCCCAGCGCAGAGCCCAAGGTGGGGCTTGAACTCACGACCCTGAGATCAAGAGTCGGATGCTCAACAAACTGAGTTACACACGTGACCCACCGATTAATTTAATATGCTTCGGGCTCCTTTAAAAAATAAAAATGAAAGTCGGGGCGCCTGGGTGGCTCAGTTGGTTAAGCGACTGCCTTCGGCTCGGGTCGTGATCCTGGAGTCCCGGGATCGAGTCCCACATCGGGCTCCCTGCTCAGCAGGAAGTCTGCTTCTCCCTCTGACCCTCTTCCCTCTTGTGCTCTCTGTCTCTCATTCTCTCTCTCTCAAATAAATAAATAAAAATCTTTAAAAAAAAATAAATAAAAATGAAAGTAAATAAAATAAAATAGAATTCAGTGAAACATCCCAGGGCATAGAATGCCAATCTTTTACCCCAAACCATAATGCTGTACTTCTCCATTTTCCCACTTGTCTCAAGAGTGTTCATAATTACTTGCTGAAGCATCCACTTGACAGTGCACCCATACTTTTAAAAGAAAGAGCGTGAAATCCATGTAAGCTCTAGTTTACCTAGCTCTAGGTTCAGTTCACTGTACTCTTGATGTGTCAAATTCCCAGTTTGCAGGATGCAGTTACTACCCCCCTGAGCTCCGTAAGGCGTCACCACGGGGCGGGGGGAAGCTGGGTGATGGGTACAGGGGAATTCTCTACTATTTTTGCAACTTTTTCTGAGTCTGTAAATATTTCAAAATAAAAGGTTTAAAAAGAAATCATTGTATGACAGAGCTGGAAGGACCTATGGGACCACACTTGGTGATTTCAACTTCCTCCTTCTTGCAAGAAAACAGACTTAGAGTCTCATCTGTGGTGAGGCCTCAGTTAAACTGGGGCTCCCACCTCTTCCTAGTCCACACTGACCTCCCCTCCCCTGCACCCCTGCCCTTGGTTCTCACCCCCTGGCCTGATACTCACTTCCTCCTCCCTCACCTCCTGCCAAACAGTAGAAACAACCACAGAATGGCCATCTCGGTTGGGTCAGGATGGCACAGCATGGGCCGGTGCTGGGCACATGCTGGGCTCGGTAGTTAGGGCTTCTCTTCCAAATCCTTAAAAAATAAGAGATCAGAAGAAACTTTGACATCACCATGCTTGGAAAGGCCCCAAGGCTCAGACACTTTTTTATCTTGTTTCCTGGGATTTGCGGCAGTCACCTGCCTATGTGTTGCCACCATATGCCCCTTCTCACAGAAATCAATTTGCAGAATTATCCAATGAACTACAAGCACTCCATGGGCAGTACCACTTGTAATTGATCCATTTCAAGGAAAGTGCTATGAGAAGTGGCTAAAGCCGCAGAAATGCAAATGTTAACATTTGTCTTAAGTTTTTATTTTTCACTTTCAACTGCTTTTTATTTCCACGTAGGGGAACGCGAGGAGAAATGCATAATGGAAGACATTCCAAGCGACACACTGGTAACAGGTACGTACGACGTGCTCCATTGAATGTTGAACTCAATATGTCACTTTATGGTATGACACTAATTTCTTGGTGCATATATTACTTGGTGGTGAGTTTCACGCTGTACGGTTTCCTCTTGAGAGAGTTTATTGAGTTATGCAAACCTAACATGAAAATAGCCTTTGGAGTGAATTGCATTAATTCATAAACCGGGAAACAAAGATACACCACCACAGAATCCAAGCCTGATTTGTTCAGCTTCCCTTAAGTAAAAGAATTTCTGATACCATTAATCATGCTAATTAGGGTTGAATTCTCAAAAGATAAGTGATGTCTCCGGCCTGGTCCGGTGCAACCGTGCGAAACAGCAAATGTTAAAGTGTCTCTGAGCCTCAGCTTCTGCAGCCCCACAGCGCCCGCCTGACAGCGAGTGGTGCTGGGGGTGCACATATGTGCAGAACCGAGACTACTTTCCATGTGAAGTGCCCGTGAATCCGGCGATCGGCACAGTGACTTCTGCACATTTCCCACACTGCCACGAAGCACATCTCCATATGGCTGAGCTTAACTGGCCTCCTGAGAAAGAAACAGGCACCCATGGGTTTCAGAATTGTATGGCAAATACAGTATATTTAACATTCCAATGCAATTGACATCAAATTCCCTGATTTTAATACAAACGAGGAAAAAACAGCAGAATCTAAATCTAGGAGTATTCTCCGTAAGAGCCGATCGTGTCTTTTTGCATCTAATTCTATCTTACATTAACTAGTGCCAGGTTCCCCTCTCCACTTGTCTTAGCCATTACATTTGGGTGTTTTATGGCAGAGAATATGGACCCGTCCCGCAGAACGTCAAACACATACAGAGAATTGTGGTGCCAAAGCCGGAGGCGGCAGCGTGAGACCGGGCTGGGGAGGAGCAGAATGGGCAGGAGGGTGGTGTGGGGACGCCCACGGCTGCTGCAGGAGGAAGCAGCGTTTGGGACTGTGCGGTGCAGCAGGGCCGCCTAAGAACCCTGTGCCCTTGGGCAGGCTACTGAACCTCTCGCTTCATTTGTCAAATGGGATAAAAATAATAATGATACCTGCTTCCTCTTGTCGTGATGATGATGGAATTAATATTTGCAAAGCTCTTAAAATGCAGCCAGACACACAGAACATACTGTAAGTGTGGGCTCAAGCCCCCTGACCCCAGCGCTCTCATCCCAGGGGACATGTGACTCGGGTGAGTAGCTCCGTGGCTGCTGGCCATTTTCCTAGTAGTCTGTGAATTTCAGCCTGCGTTTGAAGGGGCGGAGGAGTAAGAGGGACGGGAACAGCCTGCCCCCCCTTCCTGCTCCTTGTGGCCCACCAGCTGGAGGACGCGTCCCAGGACACGCCCGCAGCAGCGAGCCCGAGAATCCCCTGACCCACCGGCGCGGTCGGAGGCAGGAAGGCGAACGCAGCCGGATGGTGCTCTGCGGCTACGCGGGGGCCCGGTCTCGCGCCACGGCCGGCGGCAGGAGCCTCCCTGCTCCTCGTCCAGACCCTCCCGTGCTGGTTCTTCCCAACTCCCACTGCCCCTCGCCTCGCCTCCTCCAGCCTCCCTCTGTGTTCTGCCCACTCTGTGGTTTCCTGGCCATCCCCCATGCAGTTATTTAGGGCTAGAGCTCGGCCCCTGAAGTGTGCTGTAACTACAGGGAAATTGTGGAAACATGTCGGTCACACGTTTCAATATTTTTAAAAAGAGAATATGGTCCTGGGGTGCCTGGTTGGCTCAGTCGGTACAGTGTGTGACTCCTGATCTCAGGGTCGTGAGTTCAAGCCCCACGCTGGGTGCAGAGATGACTTAAAATAAATAAATGAAATTTAAAAATTAAAAAAAAATTAAGTGCCATCAATTATAAAACATTATTATTAAAAAAAAAGGAGAGAAGATGGTCTTTAAGTCCCATAATATGCTAATGGAGGAAAAAATACTTGATTAACCCTCCACCTGAAAAAAGGCAAGAAAAAAGGGTAAGGAACAGGAGCAAATAGGGTAAATGTAAAACAAATAGCAATATGGCAGCTTAAACCCAACTACATTTTATGTTACACCAAGTGCAAATGGGCAGAACTCTCCAATTAACAGAAAAATATCATCAGACTGGACTTAAAAACAAAACAACTTTATACTGTTCCCAGATGAAAGGCTTTATTTTTTTGAGGGGAAAGGGGCAGAGGGAGAGGGAGAATTTCAAGCAGCCTCCAGGACCAGCACAGAGCCCGACTTGGGGCTCGATCTCACGACCCCGAGGTCACAACCTGAGCCAAAATCAAGAATCAGACTCTTAACGAATGAGCCCCCCAGACGCCCCCCAAATGAAACACTTTAAATAGAAGGCAAGGTTGAAAAAGACATACATGTAAATATGAGAACCAAAAGAAAGTATAATCAGAGCAGACTTTAGGACTCTAAGTTTTACTGGAGTAAAAGACACACCAGGACCAGTGTTGGGTTTAATGACAGAAAGATGTTTTGCAGGTGCTTCCTACTTGACTGTTTTCAGTTTCCCCTAAAAGAATTTTGATCATTTGGGCATGCCAAGCCATCAATTAGGTCTCTACTCTTATTATTTTTTCCTTTAACTATGATTGTATCTTTAATCATCAGCCCACTACTTTGATGTGCCAAATAATGTGATAGCATACCCCAAAATACAATTCTTAAACGTTTCTTTTCAACATCCCTTTTATGAGGAAAGTTCATCGCACGTGTACGCTATGCTTTCTTGTTCGTTATACGCAGCAAGCTCCCTTATCTACAACCAGGACCTTGGCTCAGTTCACCTGCCCACAGCATGAATACACTCCTGGCGGCTGGGGGCAGCTTCTTTGGAGTTCTGAGTGCCTGGGCTGTCTGAGCCAAAAAATGACTCTGTGTTTCCACTCCCCACCTCACCGAACTATTGCAGAACCTCCACTGTCCATGAAATCCCTGACTTCTACTGGGTGCATACATGATTGCAAACGCACATGCCAACTACCTGCTTAAGGAGTGCTGATCCAGAACATGCTTATGTTTAATTTTTAGATCACCATTAAAGTGAAAACACAAATTTTAAGTTTTTCTGGGGATCTGTGGGGATCTGAGACCCGCTCTGATATCCTCGGTCCGGGAGAGCACGCACCAGCGACGTCTCGTTGTCTCTTCACCTCTGAGGTACAGTGGAATATCCCACGAGAGACACCCATCTAGGAAGTTCGAGAGAGGGGACCTCAGAACCAGTCATCCAAATCTACCTAGATGTGTGTTTTTGCTCATTGGGACTACAAATAAAGAGAGGGCAGTGGCTCTGAGGACTCGGCCTGCTGCCGTGCCCGGGCGGAGGCAGCTCAGAGCGCCCCGAAGAACAATGACCAGACTCCCGGGTCAAGGAGGCGTGCTCTGCAACCACCTTCGTTGCCCAGTAGCTCGGTTTCTTCGAGCTCTGTTTCCTTATCTGTAACCTGGAGCTCACCCCTGCCCTGCAGCTGCACCGCACCTGTGTGGCCCTCACCGCTCTGTCTCTAGCCTGGCCCCAGCTCTGGCTCAACCACCACCCCGCCCCCCATCCCAAAAGGAAGGACACTGCCTGAGAAGCAAAGAGGCTCGTGTCCCCCTAGGGCAGCTGGGAGGGGGGCGGAAGAGGCCCCGGGCACCTGTGTGCCGCCAAGTCAGGTCAAACAGACACAGGATGAAAAATCCCAGTTCCATAAACTTGCTTAGAAACTTCAGAGTAAAAGATTCTGGTTTCTCTTAGTTCTTCTTAGTAATGTCCTTTGATAATAAATTCTAGATTGTCACGAACGGAAAAAGGGAGTGCGGCCTTTCTGGGGGAGAGATAAGAGGAGAGGGAGGGGACTTGGCGGGGGCGGCTGTTCTGATGAGCTTTAAACCACCTGCCTGCGGGTCCTTGGAGACGTTCTTCAAACAAGGCTGTTGGTCGTTTGTAAGAGGCAAGCACCAAGGGGAAGAGCAACGTGCCAGGGAGCACAGTAACCATAATGTGGGAGACTGCTCATCAGAAGGAAAATAATTGGGATTCGGAACCGATGAAATTTTGCTCCTGGGTTGGTCCCGCTCAAAAGGTCCCTGGATTTAATTCACTTTGCCGAAACACCCAGGGTTTCTGTTTTTCCTTCAGAGTACAGACCCTGTTGGAAACCGGAGGCAGGAGAGGAGGGAGGCAGCCCCAGGTTTCAGATCCATCTCGTTTGTCCACTGGAGCAGCGCCAACCTTGCCTTGTTTTCTGTTTGTGTGTTTTTTTTTAATTTTTATCTATTTATTTGACAGAGAGAAAGAGAGAGCGCTTGAGTGGGGGGAGCGGCAGAGGGAGAGGGAGAAGCAGGCTTTCCGCTGAGCAGAGCCCAACTCGGGACGCGACCCCGGGACCCTGGGATCATGACCTGAGCCGACGGCAGACGCCCAACCCACAGAGCCCCCCAGGCGCCCCATCCAACCATGTTTTCATGGGAGACCACACCACTCCTCAGGGGTGTCCCAGGTCAGGCACCCTCAGAAGCCGACCCTCAGCCAAGGATTCTAGTGAGGAGATGCTCTTAGGAGACGGAGGGAAAGTAGCCAGGCCAGGTGACATTTCAGGTGAAGCCCAGAGTCAGGCTGAGCCCGGGGGGCCCAGGAACTTACCGCGGACATACCACCCAGCTCTTCTGTTGCTGAGGAGACACCCGCAGCAGCGACGGCAGGCTGTCAGGGGCAGGCACCCCCATGGTCACCGCAGCACCGTCCACAACAGCCAAGCGCGGAGGCTCCCAAGTGTCCACCGGCAGATGGACGGAGAGACAGAATGTGGTATCCACACAATGGAATGTGATTTAGTCACAAGAAGGAATGAAATAAATAACAACGAAATTCTGATACTCGCCCCCAGGGGATGAACCCGAAAGGCATCGTGCCTGCTGAACCACGTCGGCCACGGAAGGACCAGCCCTGCGCGGCTCCACGCATGTGAGGCCCCCGAGGGGAGCTGGATTCAAAAAGCCAAAAGTAGAGC